TTGGTAAACCTCCTGGACACCATTTCACTCCGGAGATCAACAGGCATTGCTGTCAGCAGCATTGAAGAGGCCCTCGCATTCACTCTCGTCCATTTTCCACCGCACAGCTTCTCCGAGTCCCTTGGCTCTATTGCAAGCTTCTCCAGCGGTGACGCCGTCAACCATATAGCATACGCCTGGTCCACCATCTCCATCACCGCATTCCACCACGTAGCTGAGCCTTCACTAATGTCACACATCACCACGTAGGAAACCTCAAGCCAGTCCTGAAACGACAATGCTGAGTCAGCACCTGCTTTCATATCTGGCATCGATGTAAGTGAGATAGTCCCAGGCTTCACCATCTCGACTGCTGAGTTAGATGTAGCTTTACTCATAGCTTGTGCTTGTAGTTCCTGAAGCTGCTGTACACCACGGGTAAGCGCCTCTAGGACCGGTGATCCTTGTCCATCGGCTGTAGGTGCTGCTGGCGGAGGTGTCCTCTCACGAGTCCGCGATCCCCACCAAGCTCTCAATAGTCCTGGACCTCCACCGGTGCGGTTGCTTCATCTCTGCTCCCATTAGCTTCCCAACCACTCGGCATTCCAAAACTTCTCTGAGCATCTCCTTGTGGTAGCTGGTCACCATGTACATGTCCCTGACCTGGAAGTAGCACCCCTTGCCCTTGTATAGCTTGTACTTGAGATACTTTAGGAAGTGCTGATAGGGTTGGACCTTGAGGTACTGTAGCACCAGGACAAAGGCTTATGGGAGCACCTTGAGGTTGTTCGGCAGCTCCTAACCTTCCTGGATCAAGAGATACTGTAGCTAGATCTCCCAACAGCCGGTTAGAGCCTCGTTCACGCTCATCATGAAGTGACTCCTTTTCCTGAGCTAACAGCAGTCGTGCTTTTGTCTCCTCCAGCTCAGCCTGTAGGCGATCATTTCTATCTCCGTAGTCCTTAAGTTGAGTGAGTATTCCCCCAAGCTGTCGCTGCACCTCTGCTTGTATTGCTTCCGCAGGTACGCTCGACGAAGACGGCGGTGTAGGTGCAGGTGGTATCGCCCGGGGTCTGGTAGGAGATCTCAACCTGAACGGCCGCCCACTCGGTGGTGGCGGAGTAAATGGAGGCGACCCCATTGGCAATGGACTCGGAGCAATATCCATCTGGTACGCGCCAGGGCTCGGTACAGTCAGTAAGTTACTCAACCGCTGAAACCATCGCGGTGGCTCAACACCACCCAACCACGTCGGCTGTGCCATCACGTTTGTAGACGACATTGCAGCCGGCGTCTGTGCTCCACCAGGTGTAACACCAGCAGTTGTATGCGGTCTGCCTTGGCCAGCCACGGATCGCCTATCTAGGTCCAGCATCGTCAGAGCTCCATCTTGCGGCTCCGCCTGCACTGTCCCAGCTATAGTCTCCCCAGCTACCTGCTCAGAACCACCATTCTGTAATCCCAGATCCGACTGCACAGGTTGCTCCATCTGCGCGGCCTCTATCTGCTGCTGCGTTACTTCCTGCTCTATACCAGCACCTCTCTGGGTTTCACCCGTAGTACTGACATCATCAACTTGCGGGTCTTCTTCTGCTCCCACAAGTCCACTTTCCAGACGCGACTGGGCTCGCGCTTGGGCGCTCATAACCTGCAGAACTGCTTCTCTCGGCAGAACATCTGAAGGGCCAGGCATAGCAAGCCTACACCATGGCGAACGAATTTAGTGCTCTGTTTTTCTGCGATCACACACATGTATAAGTCGAAACTGAAGTGCCAGCATGAAAAGCTTTCAGTGTCTAGCATCTAGGGGTGTACAATGATGCATGTTTCCACTGAGCACACACTGGTCTTTCTCAAGAGGCCTTTCGTAGCCATCCTCTGCGGCAGGAAACTCACGCTTCCACATGCGAAGTGGCTCTTCTGCAGGTTTAGGGTTTCTGGGTTTAAGGTTTAGGGTTTAGGGTTACAAAGACAGCCTTGTAGTACCAAAAAACGGAACCCCTATCCCTGGGTTTAGGGTTCATAGGTTTAGGGTTTAGGGTTTCTATAGGTTTAGGGTTTATGGGTTTAGGGTTTAGGGTTTATAGGCTTAGGGTTAAGGGTTTAGGGCTTAGGGTTACAAAGCCAGCCTTGTAGTACCAAAAACGGAACCCCTATCCCTGGGTTCAGGGTTCAGAGGTTTAGGGTTTCTAGGTTTAGGGTTTATAGGTTCAGGGCTCAGGGTTTATAGGTTTAGGGTTTATAGGTTCAGGGTTTATAGGTTTAGGGTTGAGGGTTTAGGGTCTGAGTTGAGACCCTGAACTTCCCCTAAACCTTAAACCCTAAACATCCCTAAACCCCATAAACCCCAAGCGTCGTCCAAGGAAGCGCTGTTGAGCGCGCCTGCTTGGAGGCTGGCCAGCGCAGGATCGCGAAGGCAGGGACCCCGAACCCCTAAACTCTGAACGGCAAAGGCGTCGGAGATAAGTATAGGGGCCTTAATTAACAATTACCTATAGTATTTTGGGGGCTCCTTATTATACTTATACAATAAAGGAGCCCGAAACCCTATTCAAATTATTAAGGCCCCTAGATTATATGCTGTCTGAGCAAGGAATTGACAGGAAGCTTTCATAGAGGGATTGTGGCATCGGGGGTTGACTTCCTTAAAAGGTTCCTGGAGTTCCTTTATAAATTGAAGGAACCGACAGGGTTCTATCACAGTCATGAGGTTTGCATCAGGGTTATTCGGGTTCTTGAGTTTTCGGGATTTAGGATGTAGGGTTTGCGATTTAGGGTTCAGGAAACTGTCTAGGATTTTGGGGGCTGCGTGAGATACTCGTCATTGTGGCAGCCATCGATATCGAAACCACGTGCTCGTGCAGATCCTGTAGCGCAAAACCGTACAAGTGCACGTAAAACCCAGTCTCAAGCCTTGTTCGGATCTGCACGCATACTAAACAGAACACCTGCCTTCAGCCATATATTCCAGCAAAAAAACATAGAACAATCTCACGTTTTCTGTTTTAACCTCTCTTAAAGCTATCCACGGACTTCGAGTGACATTTCTAAGATAGCAAGCCTTATGAAGCTTCAACCTCTCTTAGAGGCTGCTTAGACGCTTCTGGGTGGGCCGTGGCCAAAAACCGTACAAGCAAAATAAAAGGACATCGCAGAGCACAAAAAACAAATACCTTAAAGGCAAAGCCGTAAGCAACCTAAATCCAAACGATCATCCCAGAACTCCGCTCAATTCCCTTAATAGCCCTAAAAAGGTAACCCTAAAACCGCTGCCTGCATGGAGGTGATTCAGCGAACTCGGCCAGAGGCGGCCGCGGCTTGGGCAGGCACCGGCGTCGGTCACCGAGTGCTCGGAATGCAGAGGGCTCCTTCCCGGATTTTATATGATGTAATCGTGCTTTGTGGCGTTTTCCCTTTGGTTGCTTCACATGTCTTCATAAGGTTTTAATGACGGTTTAGGTCGGTTTTGCCTGTAACTAAAGCTTGGACTGTGCCCCTCGGGCGCGGCTTTCGTAGCCTGAGTCGGAACCCTCAGGATTGAATCCCTGATTCATGTGTGCAGAGTTGGGATACACAGGCACTGAGTCCACTACATCCTGGAACTGCAGATTGCATTTGAGGGGTTTGGGGTCCAGGGATTGAGAATTCCCGGCAGGTGGCACCTTCCCTGCACTGAATCATCAAGTCTGCCCCAAACAAAAAATACGGAAAATCCTACCCTAAACCCCTAAACCTCTAACCCCTAAACCCCTAAGCCCCTAAACCCTAAACGTAAACCCGAAACCCTGGACTCTGCACGCGTTTCTTTGTTCAGCTTCTTCGGCTCCTGGTTTAGCTCGAACTTCGCTTCAACGAGACGGATGGGAGTTCGCTGGACCGAGCTTCCAGAGGCAGCGCGTGTGAGAAGGAAAGCAGCATGGGACCCATTGATATGGTGGGTTTAGGGTTTCGGGTTTAGGGTTTAGGAAGTAAGGTTATAAGTACCCTAAGTGGGGCTATAATTATAGTTACCCTGTCTATAACCCTATAGTTACTAATTAGGGCACTTATGACCCTAAACCCTAAACCCTAAACCCCTTACTTACTAAGTCCCATGATCCTCCAAGTGGTGGAGGGGCTTGCTGGCGATACTGGTCTGGGCCAGCTCCAGCTCCAGCAGAATTCTGGTAGGGTTTAGGGTTTAGGGTTTAGGGTTTAGGGTTTAGGGTTTAGGGTTTAGGGTTTAGGGTTTAGGGTTTAGGTGAAGCAGGGCCTGCGGTGGAGGTATGCTGCAGTTTGGCAGCATGTTCGCGTGACGCATTGAAGGAAGTGCAGAGCAAGAACAAGCAGCTCCGTCTTCGGCTGAGCGAGCTTCGGTGGCCCCAGCTGGCGTGCTTCTCTTCGAATGGGCGAACCTACAGCCTGCCGCTGCGAGCTGAGAGCAGGGACTTGCTTCTCCCGCCATCCGCTTCCGTTTTGGCCTACTTGGCCGGCTTTTTCGATGGGGATGGCTGCGTCTCTTGTGAGCGTGCCCTTTCGGGGTGCGCCTTGGTGGTGTCTCAGACCTTTGACCAGGCCGAGGTTCTCATGCTGTTTCATGAGACATTCGGGGGAAGCATCACGCTGAAAGACATAGGCATGGGTCTGCGCAAGCCACTTCTCCAGTGGAGAGCACGCGGCCAGTCAGCCCGAAGGGTGGCTTTTCTCCTGGCGCCACATAGCATCACCAAGCGGGAGCAGCTCTGGCTGACGTCCCGGTGGCCCGAAACGAAGTCCCAAAGAAGGGACTGCAAGGCTGAGTTGCGTGTATTGAAAAAACGCGATTCTGCAGTCACTGGGACGTGCAGCTGGAGCTACTTTGCCGGCTTCTTCGATGCAGAGGGCTGCATCTCACAGCCGAAGCAAGGAGTGTCGCAGGTCCTGGGGATTCGGCAAAAACATCCCAAGGTGCTCGAGATGATTCGCGATTTTTTGGCCGGTACTTCTGGCATAGAATCAACACTTGCTTCCGGAAAGTCTTCGCATGCACTTTGGATGTACGGCCTTACCAAGTGCAAGCAGGTGCTGCAACACCTGTTGCAAGCCGGACTGCTTTGCAAAGCCAAACAGGCAGAGCTTGCTGTTAGCCTGACTTCGGAGAACGCAGCGCAAGTTAGTACTCAGCTGACATGCCTGACTGGGAACCAGAAGTTTGGGAAGAGGCTGGATGCAGCTGGCCACGACAGAGCAAGAAGAATCAAGGCGGCAGGGCGACAAGCTTCTCGATGTGAGCAGCGCGGGCAGTTTGCAGAAGCCAAAGCGAAGCAGGCCGAGGTTGAGGTCCTCAAAGAAGAGCACGAGCTGCTCAAAGCCCACCTGGAGAACGAGCAGTTGGTGGAGTATACGCACAAGCTGGAAAGCTTACATCGTAGTTCGTGGGACGGGACTTACGATTGTGGAATGTGACGATGCCACCAAGCGTGCACTGCAAGTGAAGCAGTTCGTACAAAATTCGAGTGTTATTGTGGACTAGTCAGCCAAATACCCCTCAAAGCGATCCCAATTCTAAGTTCCCGGACCCTTTCGTCCCCAAACTAGCTCACGTCCATGATCTCGTCAATAGCCAGACGCCAATCATCCTTAGCCTCACATCCGGCTCCTAGGCGAGACCAGAAAGTCTAAACCACGATGAATCCTTACACCTAAAGCTTTGTCAGGCTCTGGGCTGGTGTTCCGCGATGTTCCGCGCTTCAGATGGGGTTCGGTGCCAGTTTCCAGCACGAACCCTGGGCACAAATTCCGGACTACTTGTAGGGTTATCGGGCTTACAGCTAGGCTACCAGCCCTAGCCGTCCCAGCCCTGATGCTTAAAATGCAGGCCTAGACTTTGAACCATGGACAATAATGGTGCTCGCCCGAAATCACAGAAGTTCCTGAATCCCAAGCTGATGCCCGCTATCCTTCACCCTATGAACTCGAAACCCGATATCTCGTGCCATGAACCTGCAGCCCAAGCCCAAAAATCCCAACAATCCATATCTTGAACCCTGAGCCGAACCCACCAATGGCCCCCACACCAAAAACAAAAGCAGGTGCACCGGAGAAGCTCTCGCGACGCGCCCGCCTCGCAAAGGTCCCCGGGGACTTTTTTTGATGGGGTTCGTGGACTTTTTGCTAGGCTATACAATTGTGTTCTATGTGGTTTTTGTCGTATCTTACACATGTGCATAGACTCTTGTTGTTTTGTTGCAGCGGTTTGTTGTCTTTCATGCTATTTATAGGGTTTTAGGGCCTAGAGGTTGCAGTGTTTGGGGAGTTTGGGGCTTGTACAGATTATCGTGTGTCGGGGTTAGAGCTTCAAGGTTCCGAGTGCAGTGGGCTGTGTAGGACCATTATTACATTATGTTCAAGAACACCCCAAGAACCCCCTACGAAACGAATGAAACTAGGCTTCGCCTCGAAATGCTTCAGCATTCGGTGTCCTCAAAATCCTAAGCCACAAAATAGCGGTGTCTTTGGTCTAGTCAGTCTAGTTGGTGTTTAGCCACGGGTTGGCTTCAGAGTTTAAAGCCCTAAGCCCCCAAACCCCGAAAAACTGTAGTTTTCAGGGCTAAACCCTGAACCCTAAACCCTCAACCCTAAACCCTAAACAAGACAAAAGCTCCCAAGCCTCCGATAGAAGGCGGCCGCTGCCGTGGCGGAGGCTTCCCACACGGGGAACTGGCCGGAAGCCGTCAAGGTGATGGAGGACATGCAGAGCTCTAGGGTTTAGGGTTTAGGGTTTAGGGAAATCGAAACTCCAGTCGAAGACGGAAGCCCGACAGCTATGAAGTGTAGATCTGTAACGTAAAATAAGAACACCAAAAGGACATAGACCTTGAACAAACTTTCAAGATATCCAATTGATGGGGCCACATGTGTATTAAGTGCGACGCCTTTACCGCAAAGATGCGTGAGAGATAAGAAGCTCCGCCAAAACCTTGAACCCTTGAAACCTTAAGCCTGTAAAATCGCGTCACAGACACTCCGATTCGAAACTTTCCCTGGTAGGATATCTGGCGCCTTGGGCGGAGTCCCCATGGGACTCTGTTGCAAGAGGCCATCGTAGTCTGCGGCGAGAAGGCGCCCTCTTGCTACGACTTATAGTCTTAATCAGTGCTTGGGGGCGCAGAATTTGTTCCTTCAGGAGCTGTAACTTTAGCCCCAAACCCGTTAAACCTGCCCCTAAGCCCTATAACCCCAAGCCGAAGCCCTGACTGTCTCTGGTTCCACTTTGGTTTAGAGAGGATCCTTGGCTGTGTGGTTTAGGGTTTAGGGTTTAGGGTTTAGGATTGAGGAGAACATGGGTCGAAGATATTTCCCACGGGCTGGAGTGATCTGACATGTGGGAGTTTCCGAAAAAGAGGGGTACCTTATTTTTGGGTCCTTATCATAAGGATCCTACTATTAAGGGTACTATATTTGGGCCCGCTATTTTCGGAAACTCCCATATTTGTGCTTGGGTAGCATTCATCGGAATGTTACCGGGGCTTCGGTTCCGAATTCTCGAAGCCCCTACTTCAAGGAGGATGGGGTGCAGCAGGGAGAGCTAGACGTGAGGTAAGCAGGTGTAGGGTTTCGGGGTTTAAAATACATCTACTATCATTGCGGGACTGACGTTCCTACTTACTGAGGTCTCCAAGTGCAGGTACGGTTCCAGACGACTTCTGGGGAGGTATGGGGTACTTCGACTCTTTGGATTTAGTGTTTAGGGTTTTGGTTTGACTGTTTTAACCGCCAACCCTAAACCCCAATGCCCTGAAGTCCTAGGTCCTGAAGCAGCCAGACCCGAAAATTACTATAGAACTGTTCAAGGAACCCCGGCAGAACCCTTCTATATTCCTTAAGGGAACCGGTTAAAGAGTCCTCTGTCTACAACCCCTGCAAGAACTTTAAAAGAACGCTTGAAGGAACCTTTCGAACCTTTACAGAACCCCTTAACAAGAGCGCTCTCTACAACCCCAAATCCCCAAAGGGTCCAAGTTATAGTATAGTATATACTTTTGGGGCCCAAATACCTACAAAGCAGCTACCACATTAATACTTAGACCCTTTGGGAACCCTAAACCCTAAACCCTAAACCCTAAACCCTAAACCCTAAACCCTAAACCCTAAACCAAAACCCTAAACCCTAAACCAAAACCCTAAACCCTAAAAACCCTAAACCCTCCTTAAAGGAGCCCCGCCTTTGCTCGGCTTGCGAGGCGTGGGCCTGGGCGTTGGAGCTGATGGAACGAGCCTGGGAGAGGCTACAGAGCAAGAGTTTAGGGTTTAGGGGTTTAGGGGTTTAGGGTTTGGGGTGTACCGTTTAGGGTTT